AGAAGAGAAGAGAAGAGAAGAGAAGAGAAGAGAAGAGAAGAGAAGAGAAGAGAAGAGAAGAGAAGAGAAGAGAAGAGAAGAGAAGAGAAGAGAAGAGAAGAGAAGAGAAGAGAAGAGAAGAGAAGAGAAGAGAAGAGAAGAGAAGAGAAGAGAAGAGAAGAGAAGAGAAGAGAAGAGAAGAGAAGAGAAGAGAAGAGAAGAGAAGAGAAGAGAAGAGAAGAGAAGAAGTGAAGTGGTTCCGCCTGGAGGGTGGAAGAATCGTTGTTCCAGATCCTGGGGGCGTTGGTGACTTTTGGAGCGTCAGAAGGAGGCTTTGAAAGCATTTCAAAAAAACCGAGCCAACCGGACTCGGACACCTTTTTATTGGAGTTTTCACATGTTTCATCGACAAAGGCCACCTATTTGATCTTGTAATATTGGCCATGAAACGGTTGGTTGCGGTTCATTTCGTCGTGCCGGTGCAGCGGTACACGGAGGCGGGTTTCCCGGTGTTTTCACCCCCAAAAACTATGGGTTTCCTGTAGATGTTCCCCCAAAAACCATCTTCAAGACGGTGGACCTGTGCCATGAAGCTTCCAAGGTGATTTGCCATTCTCTATCGGCACTGGACGCAGCAGGCTGGCACCGGGGTCACTGGGGATGGGGTCAAACTGACTCTTGGTCCTTCGCGGTCAAGGTGCCATAAGTCATGATTCGGGGAGGCCAACCAACAATGACAAGCCTCAAATTGTTTAGGTCGCTTTGCTTCTGCAGAGTTCTTGCAGTGGTTGGATCTCTCTCCTTTGCACAAAGCGTTCCAATACTTGCGTTTTGACCGTGCTGCTCCTGCAATGTACTCTTCTGCTGTTGCATTACCACTATGCTAGACTATGCAATACTAGCACTGTGCCTAGTGCCCTGAATGTAAGTAGTAGCAGTAGCAGTGGCAGTAGGGGCAAATTTTTCCAACCTGGAACAATTCAATTATCTCTGGAGCACTTGGAACATCTCTCGTTGGGCAATGCCAAGGGCTTATCATTCTCCCGCCTTCAGCGCCCTCAATATGACCAAACTACGTGTAACCAACATTACAACTGACACTATTCCTGTGGCACCTATATTTCTTTCTAGGGGCAAGGACGCTACGAACGGGGCTCCTGACATCGCTACTAGTAACCAGAAGCTACGAACGGGGCTCCTGCTACTAGTCCTCGCTTGGCGGGTGTTTTTTGGCCTAGCCCCCTATCCCTGTTTCGGCCTCTCACGAAGGTGAGCGGCCGAACAGCGATCCCCACCGGAGGGATCATGTGGAAAGGCTTGTATAGGGATTTTTTGAAGGGGATGTCCTACGATGTCCCTTTTCCCTTGACATGAAGTACTTTGGACTCGGCCACGGACTCTAAGAGTCTTGAGTCAGGAACTCTTGGGGAGTTAACACGATGCTTTTCCGATGGAGCGCCGTTGCTCCTACTTTCGGTTCAGCTCAGCGGATGGTGACCAGGCATCGCCTTCAAAAGCATTACCTGACTGCTGGGAACTGTGGTACCGGATCCTTGCTGGGCCAAGCGGAACGCCAGCACCGTGGCGGCAACCGGGGCGTTTGGAGGCTGATTATAGCATATAACTGGGCCCTATACTGGAGAAATTTGGTATCTCATAGGCACCCCAGTCGTTTTTTTAAAGTTCACTTAACCTCTAGGTGTTTTTTTGGGGGTAAGGGACGGTGTTTCAGCTCAAAAGCGGCTTTCCACCTCGGTCGACTCGGTCTTTTCTTGGGCCGGGTTGGTGGCTGGTTGGTGGCCCAACAATGAAAGTTGTGGCACGTTGTGGGGGTGAGAACCATCCTGTGGGTACGATCTGACTGCTTTTCTTCAGCCGGCAGAAATCGTAGAAATCCCTGTGGTCAGTTGAGTCCTCGATACTTTAGGCTTGATGACAGGTCTATGCTTCTGGTGGTGGGTATGGTGAGGCACGTTTTTGCACGATTTGTATGGAGTGGTCAAGCCAACGCTTGCGGGAAAGAATTGCAAAAAGAAACGTCGAACTGAATCGAACCTCCATAGCCCTAGAGTTGTTCATGCACCTTTTTACAAGCGAAGGTGTCTTCATGTCTTAATAGTCTCACACTGATATATTCAACATGGACAATTATATGGTGGTCATAAGCCGGCCCAGGATAGTCATGGGCACTCGGATCATCGGCTAAGGTCCTTGGGTTATAGGATGGGTCTGTTCGACTCTGTCCTATTACCCGTAATCGTCGGTCAACAATCACTATCTGATCTCGAGAAAGGCCCGCCCTGCAACCTAAGCATCATCGACTGGGCCCAGTGTTACCGTGAGCCCAGAAATCAAATCACCATTCAATTCAAATCACCGGAATCCCGAACCACCACTGTTTTACTACGGATTTGACCAGACAAAGCCTTCAATCCATTTCAAACCATGCAACAACTGGGGACTTCCAGGACCGTTCGTCTTTTCAGACACCCCCCAAACGGTCAGGTCCTGGGTCCACGGAGTGGTTGGGAATTGGTCACGGAAGAGCGGCGAAGCGCGGTGTGGCGGACGACGTGAGCCGGTCGCCGGCACCTTCGCGGCGTGGCGAGGTTCCAGCAGCTGGCCGAAGCCTTGAACCGAAGCTACGGAGAGCTCAGCTGGTGGGGCGAGGAGGCCACCCGTGGCCCGGTGGGAAGCCGAAGGGTGGAGTGGACCAAAGGGGGGTGAGGTGAGATGGGGTATGAGGAGGGGTGAGGTGATTTAGGTGGGTGAGACCATTGGACGTCAAGGGCCATGGGTTTTGTGGGAGCAAACCCCAGTTCAAGCACGTGCGACCAGGGTCACCTTGTTCTCGCCGCTTGCGACGCCCGTGGGGCGACAAAGGCGACGATGGCGGCTCTCTCGTGGTTTGGACCGGGAGGAGAACTGGACACCCGATGTGGCCGCCTCTGGCGCCGATGTGTCTGTTCCAAGGGGATGTCGGGTGTTTGAAGAACTGGAAGACTCCAAGAAACCGGAGGATGCCACATTTCTCCTACATCCACCAGTGCAAAGCCAACCAGTTGGCAAAATTGCATGGAAATTGCCAGAAGTGGCTGGGAACCTGTTCCAACCATGTCCAACCAAAAAAAGACCAATTCTGACCAACCTTGCCCAACATTGCCCAACATCGGCGTCGTTTGGGAGCACGCTGAGGACTCTACTCCTGTGACAACGAGCGGAACCTGGGTAGCTTGGACCTCCTGAGCTCCTTCCTCTTCCCGCGAAGCCTTCAGGCAACGAGGTCTTTTGCACGTGGACGAAATGATGGACGCTGACTTCCAAGACCATGTTCCCTGGGATCGAGTCGTACCGAACCTCAGGTACGGTGATTGGAGTCAATGGTATGTAGGTTTGGAGGGTCCAAGTACCTTCTGAGAAGGTACTTGGAGCCCTACGGCCCTGGCTGCTTTGCGTTTGTCCTGTCCAATCCGTCCAGTAAAAAAGCAAAACTTCTTTGGTCCAAAGCCACGCATTACCATGGCCCGGGCCAGAAATCCTATACCAGCGGAATTGACCCCCCTGCCATCGCCAACGTTGCGCGTTTGCCTTCACACTTTCCATCGAGAGATCTATATCTGGAAGAAGGATAATGTTATAACATGGAAGGCGGGACCACTTCAACTTCACAACTCAACTTTCCCTTATATCATATATCTGATGGCATGTGGAAATGCGGGACCACTTCTTCCTGGAAGAGCCACTCAGCCACTATCTTAAGTTAAATGCAGTCCCAACGACTTTTTTTTAAAATAATTGGACTGAAGTAAAGGAAACTCCTTTTCGGGTCACCTAAAGACTATTCTTTTGATAGTCCTTGACTCCCAGGGAATATATAGGACCCCGTCTTTTCCCTCCTTCCCGATGGCCAGTGCTCGTGTGCTCGACCGTGCGAGCCGAGCGTGCGAGCCACCGTCGCAGGCCACGGTGAACACGATGCCTCCCAAGGACGGAGCGTGGACCGAGCACGGGGCGTGAGTGGTGGACGTTCCGAAGCTGTTTATGGCGGTGTGCTTAATCTTTTTTGTTAAATCATTAACCCTGGGAGGCAAAGACTATCAAAGGAATGGTCTGACTCGGTGACCCGAGTCTAGGAATATGCTTTACTTCAGTCCGTTAAAATATGGTCGAATAGGACTTCTAGGGCGCTTTTCTTGGGGGTTCAATATATAAATTGCACATGCCGTTCTAAGAAGTCCAACTCACCTCGCCGTTCAGGACCCAGAGCAAAAAAGGCCATCAAAGAAGGATGAATCATGAAGAATCTGCATTTCCATGGTGTTTTTGGGGTCATTTCATGTCATTTCTGTCTTTGTTTCTGGGTGCGCATTTTGGCGCAAGAAGCTCAACACTCGAAAGAAGATGGGAGAAGATCAACATCCATCGATCCCTCCGGATCCGGGCAGACTTCGTTGGTCAGTTCGGGTCAACTTGACAGGTCGAAGGAGTGACTGACCAAGGAGGGCCTTCAGGGCCCTTCAGGGCCCTCCTTCCTCCAGGAGGATCCCTTTCAACTGCCCGGCCGCATTGCCACCTCGCCCTGTGATGGCTCGGTGCTCCCCACGCTGAAGGACCTATCTGACGCCGGGGGTGGGCGGAGGTCTAGGTCAGGCCATGAGGGCGAGGGGATGAGTTCGACCACGAAGAAGGGAGAAGCATGAGTTCAACATCCTGAATCATCAGAGTTCCTTCATGTGAATTCTCAACGCAACACACAAACACGCAGAAGCTGCGGACCGAATGCGGATCGTTGACTCACCGGAGATCAGGAGATCCGAGCGGAGAGGCCCTTCCGAGACTTTGCCGCCCGGTGGAAGAGCCAGGCGAACGTCGCTTGGTGGCGTTCGAAGCAGGCGGATCGGGCAGGGCAGTCATTTCTGCGGCAGGTTTCTGTGGTGATGTGTGGCGTTGAATTGGAATAGATTCGGAATAAGGAGCTGCACGGCTCCTAGATAAAAAGCTCCAGCCTGAGGTGTTGTTTATTCTCAGTGGAGTACTGTCCTTGGCATTGACTTCGCCGTAAGAAGCATCAGTTGGAAGCATTAATGCAAGCATGAGCTTCTTAGCTCATGGTTCTTCAAAGTGGCCCAGCTGGAGGTCCCTGCAAAGCCTCACTCAATTTGAGGGGCCCGACTCAGGGCCCGACTCAGCTTTTCTTCGTCACTTTTGACGCTGCGCCAAGGTGACTTGGAATCATATGCTCTATGATTGTGTCCTTTCAGCTCGCTGCGCAGGCCGCATCGTTGCTTCGACCCGCACAACGGACTCCTCCAGTGCAAAGCTGCATGACCTCTGGATCACCAACACCAAACAAGGAGTTTTTGTTCTCTTTGAATTAAAACACAGAGGTCAAATGGGCTTATTAGGTTCGTGGATATTTTTTGGCATGACCAAGTAGGCCTCCGTCTAGTTTGATCTGGTTTGACGGCTGGTTAGCATCTGACTATACCTTCTTGACATTCCTCGTTCCACAAAACCGCTTCCGGCTTCCAATCCCTTAGGGTCTTCTGCCTGGCCAGCGGCGCTTTCTTTTCCGGAAGAAGCTGCGAGCGCAGGCGTCCGGCTGCCCGAGAGCATTTCGGAGGAACTGGCTGACGAGGCGCGAGCCACGAACTGGTTCAGTCGCATCGTCTTTGAGAAGAAAAAACACATGCGCGGCACTTGGTTGAAGAGGGAGAATGTGGACAACATGAGAAGGAGCCGAAACCCAACCGCAAAAATACCGGGCCCCAACCCACCCATGGGATTGGTGTCACCTTTCCAAGACGAGTCAGACTCACTCGATCTCACGGGTTCAATCAAACAAGGAGACCTGGACCATCCGGATCTCCGGATGGACCTGGCTGGATACCCAGCCCACTAATGCTCTCCGGGAGCTCCACACCCAGCCACATCCAGATGGGGTCCAGGATGGTCCAGGTGACGGTCCAAGATGGTCCATGCAGGTACCTCTGAGATTCTTCGATGTCTCCCTCCCAGCCACGCAGCCCGTTCCGCCGCGGGAAGCCGCGTGGCGTTCACGCCACGCCGGAGCTGAGGCGCTGGCGTGGGGCTTTCGGCAGCAATTGGCGGCGGTGTTCCACAGCAACTGGACCACCTGGGCCGCCTCCAAAGCGTCACTGGGTGGCATCACTAACGACAGAGTGGACGGTAGTAGATGAAAGCACCGGTTCTGCGAAGGACAATGGTGTGAAAGAACTGGTGGGAGAAGCCGTGTCAAGCCCTGTCAGATAGATGAGGGGGCTCACGAGAGAGTGAAAGAAGTAATTAGATGGAGTTAGTAGAGGAAGGATAGGAAGGATGGTCGAATTCCAAAGTGAATTTCCAAGGCGATATGAGATGGCATCGCCTAAGCCCAGACACGACCCATGGGCCTGCCATAGGACTGCCGCCCCAGAAAGACCCCCTCTGGCACCACCCCGAACGCCCGTTTTGAAGGCAGTCCTATGGCAGTTCCATGAGTCCTGTCTGGGAAGCATGTGTTTTTTTTTTTTTTTGGGGGGGGGTTGGTATAGCAATGACACCCCGTGAGACACCAAAACAGTCCATTTGATCGCTGGCACTACCACAGGTGGCACGCTGTGGTGGAGCAGATGAGGAATGCCAGTGAAAAGGGCTGGCCAAGGCTTGCAATATGGTCCACTCATGATAGCAGCTTGATTTGAAATATCGGAGAAGCATATAGAACAAAACCAAGTGCAAACATACCAAACCATTGCCGTGTGGACGTTCCCTCTTTTTTCGCCACGTTTCCCCGCCCAACCGTTTCTCACCCCACCCACCACAACATGGGGGGAGCCGTGCCACAGTGGCGCGGCGCGGCCGAAGCGCTTGAACCGCGGCCAAGGCACCATGATTTACATGCTCCATGCGCTTCAAGCTTGGGACGCTCGGCCGGAACGCTCGGCCAGACCGGTCCCGTGGCGTCGTCCCACCGCGCGGAACGCGCACGGAGAACCGGGCTCGGAGCTGAGGATCGGATTTGGCCGGGCCAGGGGCTCAGGGGACGAATGTCCGACTGGCGGGCGGAACGTGGGCGGAATGTGGGCGGAACATGGAGAGCTCCAGAAGAAGGTGTTTCAAATCGTGCCAAGCGCCACCTCCGGCCATCCTAAGCCCCACTGGGGCGGAGAGAGAAAACGCCTCTAAGCCTCTAAGCTTGCTGCGCAGCAGCGGTGAAGAGGCGAGCGCGAGCGCGCTGGGCTAGCTCGACGCAAGGCTATGCCACTGCAGTGGTTCTGGAGCTCTATGCCAGCGGATCGGAGCTCTTCGTGCGAATGGTCCGAGACGGAAAGCCCTTGGTCCTCTCAAGCTGCGATCACAAGGCAGCTAGAGGATGTTGGGGGCCCATGCAGGGCCTTTTTTGGTTTTGGGCTTTGTGTCCGTCTTTCTCGGGGCATGTTTGGACCTTTGGTATGATTCAAAACGCACAATGGTTTTGGCAATGGCACTGCTTGGGGTGATTGTGTGGGTGGGTCCACTATGCTGCTTACACGTTCGGAACGCTGCATCGCCAATGCTACAGATGAGATGTTGAGAACCTTAGTACTGGCTGCTCAACAACATTGAAGCATTGAATAAACCTATGACTGTGTTAAACCATGTTAAACCTGCTGTAAAAGTTATTACCTAAGCATTGAATTTGGATGGTGTTCTTAGTTGGTGAGGAAGTGCTTGACAAAAGGACTAGGAGAAAAGCCACGGATGTTTGGACTTGCCACTTCATGTAGTGATGCAACCACGCGCTCAGCATGCTGGGAGTCCTGCCAGGTACTGTGCCCATGGCCTAGATTCTTGTGGCTGGCTCTGAGTTTAGACAGCTGTTAGAAGTGAAGGTAGTGAGACTTGGTGGACCCAAACGCAAGAACTCACTAGCATTTGATGACCAAAAACGGGGCATGGCATGGCATGGGGTAGTTAGATCACCCACAGAAGATGAGAAGATGAGAGATACTTTCTTCCATGACCTGTTCATTGTGTGAGGCGACTTTGTGGATTGAAGTTGTAAACTTCTGCCTGCACAAAGCCAACAAAGGCACATGGTGCACAGCACTGTTCCTCCTTGCGACATGTTGCCACCCGCCGTGGACGGAGCAGAACGAGTGGAGCAGGCCGAACATCTGGAGTTGTGGTTTCAAGGAGCAGATGGCACTCTCACACCTGCCATGCCTTTGAGATGGACCAGATAAACCATGGTAAACCACCAAACTTGGGACATTTGTGCCATACACCGACCCGGGCTGGAGAATGCGGGCAAAAAAGCGCAAAAAACGTGTCACCACGTGATGGGGTCACCGGTCATGGGGTCACCAGGTCATCATCCACTGGGCCCTTGGGGCGTGGGATAGACCCAAACCATGTCAATTCTGAGCCCGTTAAGGCAAGCCGGGAAGGAAGCTGGTTCACCACGATCAACCCGCAAGAAGGGCGACCAGCAAGAACCCACCGAGTGGGAGTTCAGAGTTTTGGTGCTCAGATCCAGATTGTGAACATAGGAAGGGAATATATGCCGATATCTGCCGATCAGTTGGGGCGGTTTCAGCTAATGTAGATCCCATACATGGAATGTCAGGGTATGCATAGGTGGTCTCAGACCAGTGGTATCTCCTGCTTTAAACATGTTGGAACCCGAAACCTCCACGCCGCCGAGCCAACGACCGGAGGCAGCACCGCTCCCTATGGGCTCGGCGCTCGGTGTGGCGGCGCTCGGCACGAGCGCGGCGTTCCTTGCGGCGCTCCTCGCGGCAGCGCGCCGGCGAGGTGGCTAGGGCGGTGGGAGATGGACGTGAGGAGCGCCCTGGAGCGCTTAGGGAAACGGAGACTAGATGAGACTGAATTTGAGTCTTAGACTAGGTCGAATTAGATGGGTATATAGGTATGGTTTAGATTGGGGAAGAATTCACTGGATGCGGCAACATCAGGCAACCCACGTTCGCCTGGGACGAATCTCGCGGTTCCAGCGGCGAGAAGTAGCCTGCGCGTTCCACGGGGTCAGGCCAACGGCAGGTGCTTGCAGAGGCCTTGTTGTGAGAAAAAGCCTCCGGGGTCTTGGAACGTGGCAGTTGAGATGCGGTGGCATGCTCGGGGCCATGCAGAAATGAACAGAAGGTGGTTCGATGTTGTGGGCCCTCATGATGACTGCATCAAGTGGCAGTCACCGACCGCTGCCAACGTCCCACCTAGTTGTAGTATACGGTGTAAGTGCCACAAGCGAACAAGATTGAAACATCAACTGCTGGCAGTCAGGACTTGAATCATCATGTTGAGTCTATACCTGGACCATCTGGAAGCCTATAGGTAGTGTGGGGTAGTCCAGCCAGGACACCCCGACAGGATGGTCCTCATGTTGCAACAGCTTCTTATAGACGGTCCCTGGCTGCCAAACTGGCCTAGTCATCGAGCACAGGACTCGCACCGTGTGCGAGTCCAACAGGAGAAAATGACTTCAGCTAGTCATTCTTGACCTTGTCATGCATTCTGAGCATGCCTGACTCACTAAGAAGGGCTTGCAGGCACATCAACAGCATGAACCACCCGTGGAGCCTCCATTTGACCTCCGTTTTGATAGGACAACTCGCCCTTAAAGGCTATTTTTAAACACAATCTCTTTGGGGGTGGTTCGGTGAGCCAAGGTCCTTCAGGTTCAACGCTGCCGCTTCCGTTCCGCCGGAAATCCGGTTCAAAGTCCCGTCGCCCTCCGGTGCCAGCGGTCCCACCATGAAGGCCGCGGACCCGCGCGGCGTGGGACCCGCTGGGCCGGGCCCGAAGATGTATTTTCTATTGAAATCCGAGAAGCCACCCAAACTGGGTGGTGCTGGTATTTAATACTGTATTTCCTACCTACGCGGCCTTTTTCTCTGCTGCACGACCTAGAAGGCATTGGGATTTCTGCTTGGGGCTAAAAACAACACCTGGCACTTCTGCCGTCCACGTGGGCTGAAGTTTTTCGCGAGGAGGGTGGCTTGGAACAAAAGCTAGGGGTATCCTGTCGATGACCTCATTCTCATGCTCTTTCACTCATCCATCAGTGGCCTCAAAGGAGCCGACGGCCAGGTCGACTTGAAAGAGGTTGGTTGGAATACTCCCATGCAACATGGACCCCAAAACCACTGGGTTTTGTAGAGGAAAATGGTCTTCACAGGGCAATTCTCTGGTTCTCTGGTTAGTTTGCGGGGGAATTTTCGAAAGGAGTCAACATTCCTCTGGTTCCAACTGGTTGTAAGTCACCAACTGGTAAGTGAAAAGAAAGTCAGAACAGTTGTAAGAGCAGTTGTAAGCCACCAACTGGTTCTGATTGTTTTTGATCCATCAACTTATCAACTCATCAACCTCCCGCTCCTTCTGCGTTCCACACGCCATCGGCCCCCTTATTCATCACGACCTCCAGGCCGCGATGTCGAGCCCCACGGACTTTGAGGAGGTGGCGAAGAGGCGAGGAAATGCTAAACCATGGGAGAAGATGGAGAAGGCATGTATGTGGAACGGGTCTGGATTCACATCTAATTATTCCTATAGGGAGATGGGGGGGGGGCTCTAAGGCAGGAACCATGAGAAGGAGACGATAGATATACCCTACCAGGGGCACGAGCCTGCCAGGTCACCACCTGCGACGTTCAAGAAGGTCCGGTCAGTCTGCCCCAAATCCTCTATTTCGGAGACCGGTTGGAAGGTTCTAAAGATGAGATGGAGAAGAATAGATATCGATAGATGGTTTGATGTGGCTGTGGGTCATGGTGCCGTAGACCCGAACTGCCTCGGTGCACCGGTCGCAGTTCAAGGCGAAGGAACTCATTTCAAGGTCGCCCGAGTCGGAGGGACCATGGCTTCTCCGGGCGCCACGCAAAAAGGGAGACCAGACTGGGGCAGGGAGTCACCCTCACGATCGGACGGCTCACTTCGCGGATCACATTTCCTGAGAAACTTACGGCTCTTAGATTATAGATGGCTCACTTACTTCGCCGAAAACCACCCCACAAAACGAACTGGCCCCTTCCAAGTGCCGTCAACCTCAACCCCCCTGCCGCTCTCCTCGGCGAACTCGCCGGTGGCGGCGCCGCTTCTCCTTGCCGCCCGGCGTGGTATCGGAGGTGCCTCGATGCGCGGCATTCGAAGCCCGGGAAGCCTGTGACGCGCCTCGGCGTAGACGTCGAGTGGCTTCGTGTTGTGCGGTCCTGGTTGCAGTCAACAGGGGTGCTGACGTTGCGGGGTAGGGGCGCCGACATCTAGTCACTTAGGGATTAAAGACTCACATCTTTTTCTAGGCTGTGTTTTGATGATCATGGGAGGAGAGCTGAGAAAAATGAAAGCCTTTGTCAAGCTTCAAAGCTTCCCAGGAACAGTAACAAGGGCATCGCTACGAGTAGCAAGGGCATAAGTACTCTCCTAGTAGCATCTAGTAGCAAGAAACTACTAGCAACAAGGGCATTGCTACTATAAGACATATAAGAGGCCGTTTTCCCCTTCGGTGAGGAGAAGGGGTTTGTTGGTGGGTTCACGCCTCGACTGCATTCTGTTCCCCTCGGGCGAACACCGGTTTGGGTGCAGGTGCCACAGGTGCCAGTCGCCCAAAAGCCTCCGGAAGTTCAGGTCTTGCAGTCTTGCGGAAGTCAAGCTTCCGACGGTGGAGCCGTGTCGTGTGAAGACGGATTCGATACGTCGACGTTGGCCCAACCGTTGTGGATTCGGTCGAGGCCGGAGCCGCGAGACGGGTAGAGGCACCGGGGTCTTCGTGGGTCGTCGCCACCGGTTCTCCATGTCCGGTTTGCTGACGGGAAGCGACGGTCGCCTTGGTTCCCCCTTGGCGGTATACGATGCAATGGCACTACCTCGCAGGAACCGAAGTAAGTTATGGAAGATGATGGAAGTGCCTCGATGGTAGTGCCTCAACCCACTAAAACCACATCGCACTACCCATTTTCCATATTTTTCCATCCAAAACCTGGAACACGTAGGGGGCCTCCCGGCCTCCGCCCTCACCGGGGCCATCCACGTGATCCGCCCCGGTGAACACCTCCCGACCCCAGGGCCCCCCGGGTGCCAAGCAGCTCCGAGCTGAGGTTCGAGGAGTTGGAGCTGAAGAGCCTCTGCCTCGCGGTGGGGGCACCAGTGGCCCATTGCTTCGGGGGTCCGTCTCTGCGACGCCCAGGCGTCAGGGGGCTTCCGAACCAGCGCCGAGGGACACGAAGGAGTCGGGGGGTTCGTGGAGCCGGAGCGGGCTTCCGAAGTGGAGATGGGGCGGCTTTTCTCGATTTCCCCCGCTCAAAAAGGTGGGTGGAGGATCGTTTGGAACTCCTTCGACGGCCAACATCTCGACCCGTTCGCTCGCGTCATTGGTGTCGCCACTTCGCCGCCAGCCGTTCGGTCGCTCGTGGAGCGGTCTGAGGTCCGACAGACTTTACTTTCACAAAGCCCCTTCCTGGAGCTTGAAGTGCGGAGCCCCGGCTCCCGCTTTGGAATTAGCGTGTCCACGTTCAAGCTCAGTGTCGATGTTGGGCCCGTGGAATCCAAATCCATCCGAATGGGGAATGGGATGAAAATCAAAGCCGCTGTCTAGCCGGGACCAGGACCTTCCAACAGGTGTTTTTGGGACACCTCTTAACCTCTAAGACTCTAAGAGGCTATTCATAGACACCTCTTGGTGTCGGTCCTGGTAGATAGCAATCGTGATGGGAGAGTGAGTGATGTATACGTTGGCCCAGCTGAGCCTGCTCAGATCGACCTCTAAGGCACCGATGAACATCTGTGGCGATGTGCATGGGTGACGCACTGAGACCTCCATCCTCCACCCTTTCGTTCGGGTAGGGCGCAGAGGGTGGGACGGTGGAAGAGGGGGCGTGGGCTTTCGGAACTCTGCGTGGGCTTCCTTCGGCCCAGCGGCGAAGGGCAGCGGACGACCGTCCTTGTGCTTTTCCGCCGTCGTTTCGGAACTCAACGCGGTTGGTCGACCTTCCGCCCCCGAGGCAGTTTCACGACTTGCTCCGCATGTTCGAGTATGGGAAGTTTCCGTGGCGTGGCCGAAGGAGCGTGCGGACCTAGGACTGGACTCATAGGTCTTCTCCCGCAATGGCACTCTGATGTCGGGGGACATCCGAGAACGAAAGCCGACACGGATCCGGCTGTGGAGATCCGAAGGGTCTTGTGATATATAGGGCCCCGGTAGTTGGAGATACCCCTTATAAGCTCTCTATAGGAGCTATATATATATATATACATATAGATTAGACACCCCGAAATGGGGGGCCCTGGTATCGATATGCCACGGTCACTCAATGTGATGTCGATTTCATCAGTAGCCGCTGTCGCTTCGGCGGCCGGCGAAGCACCGAGGCCGGACAGCAACTACCTCTTTCTCGGCGACTACGTGGACCGAGGCGGGATTTGTTCGGAGGTCATGTATGGATCATGGTGGATGGATCATGGGAGCAGCTTGCAGCACCAGTCATCAGGGCCGGCTGCTCGGCGCCCGGGCCAGTGGCTTTTTTCGGGTCATGTGGGATTGCAAGCTCCCATCGGGGAAGGAACCGTTGGTCGTGGCTTTTCCCGTTCTTATCATTGAACGCCACCTCTCCACAGGTAAGCAGAGCCTTGAGACGATTGTGCTCCTCTTCAGCTACAAGGCACGGAGCCTCCGGTCCATCCGCGATGCGGAAGGGAGCGACGGGCGACCGGGTTGGGTTCGTCTTCTGGTGCCACAGGTGGAACGAGTCGGGAACTGACGGATCCTTTGAGGATCTCTTTTCCCATCTCGTTCGGGATCTCCAAGCGGCAGAGGGTCCTCCATCTCTTGCAGGGGTGCATGTTCTATCACTGATAACGCCATTCATTTGCAGCATTTTGGGACCGATTTAGGACTGCCTTCAAGCCCCACCTGTCTCACTGCTGTAGGTGTTGTATCCCGAGAACTTCTTCCTGCTTCGTCGAGCGCCCAATAGGGAGGGCACGCGTTTGGAGGCGCCAACAAGTGGTGGTTCGAGATCAAGAGCCAACAGCTCCATGGAAGTTCGGACCTTTCGGTTCTGGCAGGTTCCTTGTAGCATACTCGGTGATCCACCAGGGTCGACTCGATGACCCGACCTGTGCAACGAAAGGACGGCCTTCCGGAATAGAGGGTCGACCTGTTGGATGCTGGTCTATGGGACATATGGGACACGGCCCAGGTCGGGCCGAGCCGAGTCTCTTGGTGCGAACGAAGGAGGACCGGGACCCATGTGGGACCAACCCCAAGTTAAGCAGAAAGCTTGCATATAGTTATAAGATCCAGGTATAATCCACTGTGTTCCACTCTGTTCAGCACAGCAGGTAGCAAGGCTGTCAGGCATGGCTGCCCCATGCCTGACATGGCATGACCTGACCTCCAGACCTGCCACGCTGCCGTCCAACACCGGGCGGATCCATCAACCACCCGAGGCGGAAACCATGAAAGCGCCTCGATTACGCGGATCTATGGTTTTTACGACGAGTGCAAGCGGCGTTTCAATATCAAGCTCTGGAAGACCTTCTGCGACGTTCGGGGCCCCCAGCCAGAGGAGTCCGCGTGTCTGGAGCGAGACGAGAGGTCGGTGGGACAGATGCGGGTGGTGGTCGGTGCTTCGTGGCTCCGTGTCTTTGTTTGGTACCTCGGGTTGGAACGGGCGCGAAAGCCAAGCGAAACCGCCAGGAGTCACAGCGCAATGGGGTGGATGTTGAGTCCCATCAGTGGATGTGACGTGACAGGGGCACCCCGACTTCCTCCATGGATCGCACCCCGACTTCCTCACGTGACTGCTTTACAGATGCCGAATATCAACGAGGATGGTGCCCACGGGTGGACACGCGTCAGCGATGTGTGTCGGATTCGCGGTGATCCGTCGAGACGCGGTCGGGCGCCAGGTGTTCAATTGTTTGCCGATCAGCGCGCTGGTCGACGAGCGCTGTGCTCAGTGGGAGAAGGATCAAGAGAATGAGCTGCAGACATGTAAAACACCAAGATGGAATAACATAAATGGAATTTAATATTATGACCACAATCAATATCAAGTGGCCTAGCGGATCACCGGTTAATAGCAAATCAAATAAGCCGATGTAAACAAAGGCCAGGAGATTCAAAGGATCGAATGCTGGAGGAAATCGGGGTGCCCCAGATCCACATCACTGGGGACTAATTCCACCGAACTCCCGGTGACTCCCAGACCAAACTCCAGAGACCATTGACTTATTTGGACCGAATGCGTCACCAACTTCGCCAGCTTCCCTTCCCAGGTGTCCAAAGTCTTCATGCCAGGTGCCGCCTTTGGCTCAAACGGATTCATGCCCAGAGCCTCCCCCATCTGTCGCCGCTTCGTGCGGCGCGTCGACCGTTCGGCCGAGATGGTGCGGCGCTTCGTGCGCTCGCACCGACGATTAGGTGACCAAGACATGAGGAGCGAACTTCCAGAGGAGGATGACTTTGTCCTGGTGGACCTGTCCTGGAACTTCTTTGGTCATGAGGGGCTCTCATTGATTACCAGCTTCTGCCAGCGACAGTGGAAGCTGCAAATCCTGAAGCTTCACCACTGTCACATCAAGGATGACTGTGCTGAGGTGCTCGGAGGCCTTTTGATGAAGAACCCCCTTCTTGATGAGTTGCATTTGTCTCACAACTCCATTGCAGCCAGTGGTGCCCTCTATCTCGTGCGAGCAGTGGAACGGGGCCGTGCGTTGCACCAGAGTCCCTTGTGGCTGCGCTTGGAACATAACCGTATTGAAGGCGCCGAAGATCTCCTTTATGACCTGCAGCAGCAGGGCAGCGTGTGTGGCTTCCATCCGAGAAGATGCAACGCTCGGAGCTGTGGTGAGAACCGCAAGATCCACCTCCCATACTTCACGCACCAAGACGGCCAAAGCGCCCGCCCGACCTCGCCCGACCGGTCTGATGTCTCAGACGCCTCGTCCTACGAGCGTGATCCCTGGTGGGGCCAAAGGATCGACGACCTCCCGCGGACGCCGCGCCGCACGGACGCCGCGCGGAACCGCAGCCGTTCGGCCGCGGCGCGCTCGTCTTACCGGCGCGCGGAGGCGGAAGGCGGCGGCGGGGTGCGGCCGTGCCTCAGTGTTCGCGAGCTCTTGGCCTGGGAGGAGGAATTGATGGCCCGACAGCGTCAGCTGGATGAGATGGAGAGGAGGGCCTTGGCACGGCAGGAAGCGACCCAAGCAAGGAGCTTGCATCGCAGGTGAAAAGAGCTGAGGTTTGGGGTGGGAGAGAGTCATGATGAGTCATTGGATGTCATTTGCATATAATTGCATTGGTTGTTCAAATGACCAAATGACCAAATACTAAAATTAATGATTATAATACATGGATCCCCAGCCTTCAAGGACACTTTGAACATTGGTTGATTTGATTTGTAACCATTGATGGTTGTGTGGGATTCCTTTATCAACCCCCCAGGCATTCCAACGACCATTGGTTCAATAGCCTGAATCCCGAAACAACCATTGTCTTACTAAGGGTTCGAGATCAATCATTTTAAACAGGATTCTCAAACTTCAGGGACCAGCAACAAACCAACAAACCACGAATCCAAAAAAAATGGCCGGCAGAGGAAAACGAAGACGGTTTATGAAAACAGGCGATGTCGCATCACCGGCAACGGGTGCTAAAGAGGATGAACACCAAGCATTTTAACGTTCGCTTCGCTAGGCCAGCCTTGCCGGAAAGGTCTGACTCCAAACCGTTGGGAACCGAGACGCCGCTTCGGTTCTCGCGAATCGGCCCAGGAAGGTGATTTGCATGCACGGGGGTCTCTCACCAGAGTTGCAGCATTTTGATCAGGCACCGAACTCCGTGGTCGCGCGGTGTGGTTCGGGAAATGGTACGGAGATGTTCCAAGGAGAGTCCCAAACCCAGAACCGAAAGAGGGGTTCAATTAAGCATAAAGAAGCACGACATGGGTCACGAGCAGATCCTAGCCTTTTTCAGATCTCTAAATCGAACCTCCTCCTACTACGGCGCCTCTGCCTTCCTTCACCCCCAGGGGGCGGACTCGCTCCCGGCGCGCAGATTCGGAAGATTGTCCGGCCCACCGACGTGCCCGATAGCGGCCTGGTCTGCGACCTGCCGGGCGCCCAGACGAGTCCGCGCAGACGAGTCCGAGCGGGTGGAGCTGCCGGTGCCGCGTTCGGGGGTCCGAAGGGACCAGGAGAGGTTATATCATGTGTAGTATATATATATATAATCATATATATATTATATATTACTCTATATATATATAGTGATTGTATATATCTAGGGTGCTAAAGGCTTCAATTCGGAGCGTTTGTTGGGCAGACTTGGCCGCTGGGCCCCAAGTGCCAAGTGAACACTTTGGCGAGAATTGTTCAAACGAAGACCTTCTCAGGGTGAAACTACATACCTGTATTTTCCAACTACTAATGTCAAGTTTTTTGCCTTTTCCTCTTGAAAACTATCGCCAAGTCTGCAGTCATTTTTCCATACTTGGGTCTTGCCAGGTATGTCGATCTGCCACATACTTGCCATACATTGGCAAAACCTCCAGTTGTTGTGAAGATCTTCGGCCTGGTGACTTCCACCTCCCCGCTCCCCGCTCGAGGCTGTGGTCCGACCCCGACAGGACGGGCCATCGGTCCGGGCAGAGCTGAAACATACCATGTACCGAGCAGAACAGAAACCGCGAACCGCGAGAGTTCATGTCTGTTCCAGATCTGGTTCCACATGATAGAGAGTCTTTTTTGTTCAATGCAGTATTTGTAATTATTTGTAATGTCGACGTCAACATGTCCCTCTATCCTCAGCGCTGGAAACCTATCGCGGTGACAAGCCTCTGACAGGGTCACAGGAGGCAGGAGTTTTGCCCGCCTTCTCCATCCGATGGAGCTCCATTCAATGCCGAAAAAGCCGGCCAAAAAGAACCAGGAAACTGAAACAGCCAGAAACTAATATGGGAAAACAACAATTGCCATAGCGGAACAGCTCGATCTTTTTGGAACAAAGAAATATATATATATATATATGTGCCTAGAACCCAAATTCACCTCTGTTTTGATATGAAAAGACCCTGTTTTGGCTCCAAAACAGGGGTCAATCAGGTTCTACTCTAGGTATATATACTCTAGACTTCCAACCACTATTAAATTAATAGGCTTTACCGAACCAACCAAGGAATTTACACTACAAAAACCAGTTCAACCATTTTTAAAATGGTCTTGGAATATCATTTCGATATGATTTGAGGGTCCGAGACGCCTGGTGAAGGTCCTTCCCTCCGCCAGGGACTACGTGGGCTGGGCGGAGAATGACCGGGGCGTCTCCTACGTCTTTGGGACCGATGGGGGGGTCGGTCGTCGTCGCTGCGTTGGTCGGTTGGTCGGTCCGATTCTGAGGATCTCAGGAACATCTTTCCCTCCTCCGAACCTTCCGATCAGCCCGTTTTTTCGTGTGATTGGGTCTCACCTGGTTCAACTCTAAGTGGCACAAACGACCGAACTTGTCAGAGACGACCCGTGTTCTTGCGGAGCCTGATCAAGGCGCTGATGAAGGCGCGGACGGAAACCGGAACTGCATCGGAAACCAGGTGCGAATTCTCTCCAGGACAGATGTGGTGGCGGCCTTTCTGAAGCGCTACAACCTGGATTTGGTTTGCAGGGCGCACCAGGTGGTGGAAGATGGGCATCCCTGGCATGCCTGGTGAACCACGCGGGGCGATTTGGTGCTACCGGTGTGAAATTTGGGTAGGCACCAGTTGGAGACAAACATGAGAGAAACCCTAGAGAAGAGTGGAAAATGTCAATAGGGATGAGGTCCCAGTATAGTTGCTATATAGGTACTTGCCATATACTTTTGGCTCAAGTGCCCAACCAGGGAAAAAGGAGCTTTAGCGCGCGAGCTTCATGTTGAACTAAGGGCTAGAACGGGGCCTGGGCACGCCTTTTCATCCGTTCGCAGGTTATCAGCCGTATCCAGACTCCTTGGAGCTGGGTACGTGCTGCGGCCTTACACAACACCATCTAAACGCACACGCATCGGATAGATCAGTTACCCTCAGTCACTGAAGATGGAACAATCCGACGCCAGCACTGCATCCTTTGGAGCAGCTGCTGCGGCCGCAGATCGGATGAGTGCATCCCACAATTCTAGTCCAGGTACGGTCGAAGTGGAGACTCTGACAGTGGTGAGAGAAGGTGCGACAGGTAGAGCGCGAAGTCGTTCCCCGTCAGCGCAATCGACACCACCGGGGGGGACACCAAGATCAGGCCGTAGCCCTAGGGAGACGAGGAGGAGGACTGACACCGGGGCTGTGAGAGTGCTAGCATTGGAGGATGGGTCAACTGTACCAGTACCGTCGGACAGCGAAGCTGGAGACGGGGCAAGGGCAAGCACTGACAACCTACAACTAGCACGGGCCGATGGAGACCTGAATGCGAAGTGTGCGCAACTACTTGCCGAAGTGCATATGTTGAACCACCAGAACGCATGGATGGTCGAATGTGAGCAGAGACAGAACCAGATTATACAACACGAGACCGAAGTCCACGAAGTAGTGATGGCACACCTCGAAGAATGTTATGTCGAAGGATATGGAAATCAACGAAGAATCTCCCAGCTTACAGAATCCAGAGACTGTTTGCTCTCGGCAGCACACGATTTGCAATACCAGATTGACACTGATCGTGTGGCAATGCGGGATCGTCTCACCCAGTTAGGGGAGTACGCTGATCGCAACAGCGCAGAGATGGTTAGTCAAGTTGTGAGCATCGGCACGGAAGAGATCCAGGCTATATCGGCGCAAAGAGATCGAGCCATAACCGAGGTCATGACTGCAGTCTCAGATGCTGAGAACATTAGGGATCTGTATAGACAGGAGTTAGTTGGACTACAAAGGCAGAGTGCCAGGAACAAACACGAATATGCTGAGGAGATGAAGATGAAGGAAGCAATGTATACAAGCAAGATCAAATGGTTATCAGAAGAGAATGAGGAGCTCAGCAACCAATCTTGTAATCAGGACAACTTCATCATGACCATCAGGGAGCAATTGAAGAGAGCGAACGAGGAGTTAGCACAGGCGAGGATTCAAGGATCCGATCGACTGTCTCAACCATCCAACGCCGAACTCAAGAAAGCTGAGGTCAAGATGAACATGTTGGAAGAAGACATTCTACGTAAAGAGAGGATGCTGAATCGTCTTCAGGAAGAATTGATCGAATCGAGCGCAAGTGAAGCACAATTGAAGGTCGCACTGACGTTGAAACCACCAGATATGGGATCAGGACCCAATGTGGAGAATGAGGTGATGACCAAGCTTAGAGCGGAACTTGGACGTACCGAGAAGTCATTAAGGTCCGAGGAGAAGGAGGCAATGGAGTACTACGAAGGTATGATGCAGAACCAACAGGATATGATGGAATACGAAGCGCATGCAGCACGACTCAGAGATGAGAGGAGCAAGTACCGGAGGAGGTACGAAGAGGAGCGCTTGAATGCAGAGAATGCAGCCGCAACCGAACATGGTGCCGCTTCATCCTCTAGCTCGGGCGGCTCCAAGATATCTCGGAAGGAACACGAGAAGATCAACATCCCTGCATGGCCCAAGATACACGACTTGGAGGTTTGGAAATCCCAGGTTGTAGCGGCAGTCGTGACGGCATCGGGCGACGAAAGACAGGAAGATTGGATCCAGTGGCTCTCGGATGCCTTCAAATCACCATATGACCCATTTCTGCTCGAGACATCAGGCGAGGCAAGATTCGCTAGCATAGATGCTAAGCTAGGTATCACCCTACATACGATCATCCACGCAGCAGGCGAGAGATCTCATGACGTACAACTGAAGGTGAGGCAGATGATGCAGAGACGTGCGAGAGGCACAACTCCTGGAATGGTCAAAGGACGAGAAATGTTAGCGTTGATCGTCGACAGCTTCCGGAGTGCCGACAACGTTGATGTGATGTATGCATCCAAGCACTTATTCGATCTAAAATTCCCTGGGGATAATCAACTATCCAGATTCCTTGGACAGTGGGATGAGATCATATCAGGTATGGATGCGGACGACATGCTTCCTGACAAAGCACTCCGCAACCTGCTTTGGGATAAGATTAAGGATTCCAAAGTTATGGCGTTAGACTTGTCCGTGTACGACAACATGTTGGACAAGGATCCGGACAAGACCTACCAGAAGTTACGAGAGATCATGGCGAAGTGGATACGGAAATCAATCGAGACCACAAACAAGAAAGAAAGGGAAAAGGCTTTTGGGA